GAGTTCAGTTTTGGGGCTACTCTGTGTTGATATGTCAGTAGGGTGTAAGAAGTGTTCTTAATTCAGCTAAGAATAGGTGAAACTTCTGATCTAGTAGCCAACCTGCTGTGGGTTTAGAAGATTCTTTGTCCTGATATAAAGTCAGTGGAGGGCTTTCCAGTTTCTACAGGCAGTTATTGGATGGCAGGGCCAGGCTACACTGGCTCGAGTGAGGTGGGCACAGGAAACCAGACAGAACTTAGATGGAAGTGGATAGGGGTTCTTATCTGGGATTTGGGGACAGGACACCATTTGGGTTGGAAGGATCTGGGTAGATGGAGTGGTGGGCTGGCTCTAGGGGCCTCTACCTGGGGTCACAGTCTTATAATATTATGTGGCCTCTGAGCTGAGCTTTGAGTTGGGTGATTTTGAGAAGTGGATTTGGTCTCTGATGCCCTACATGTGATTCTGGGTCTAAATCCACACAGTGCCACAGGAGGGTAAAGAGTGGGGTCTGTGCTGTTACATGGCCAACAGACTACATCTGGGGAGTCCCTACCTGCCATTCTGATTTAGACTCATTGGGTTCTGGAAAGGTGCTGAGGAAGAATCTTTACTCACATAGATGGTGGGCCAGCTGGGTCTGGGGCTATCTTTACCTGGGGGCAGTGGTCTAACTTCACAGTCATGGTACAATACAGAGAGCAGGATCTCTGCTAAACCAGATCCATTTTCTACAATTTATTTTTATTCTTTGACAATTTCATATATGTAAATACTGAATTGGGGGCATTTTCACCCCCCATTACCATCTCTAATCCCCTATTCTCCCTCTGAAGCCTTTTTCTTCCAAACAAATCCATTCCTACTTTAATGTCTTTCCTTCACTAAGTTTAAATATGATAGCTTGCACAAATATGCATGTGGAGTTATTGACTGTAACATGAAATCAGCAACTTTTCAGTGCCTACACCACTGAATAAAATGAAACTCTTCCCATAGCCCATTAATTGTCCATAGATCCTCACTGAGCTTTATGAGCCCCTCCATCATATATGATGAAATGAGTAATTGTTCCAGTCTTATGCTAGTCTTGTACCAGTAACCATTGCTGCAGTGGATTCATGAGTCCAGTGACTGTGTCATGTCCAGAAGATGGTTTTACAGCATTCCTCCCCAACCTCTGTCTCTTACATTTTTTCCTATTATCACTTCCTCAGTGCTCCCTGAGTAAAAGTGGGTGATATAGAGGTTGTATTTAGTGCCGAGCACTCCCAAGTCTCTTAATCTCTACCTTTTGACCTGTTGTGAATCTCTATATTAATTGCTTCCCTCTGCAAAAAGAAACTTCTCTGATGAATGCTCAGAGGAGTGTTAGTCTATGGGTATAAATGTAAATATTTCAAAGGCAGTTTTACATGTCAATTTAGCAGAACAAGAGTAATGGGTTCTCCTCTATGACCTATGACCTCCCCAGCCAAGGACTCGACTAGATTTACAGTACCAGGCATGAATTCCCTCCTGTGAAGCAGGCCTCAAATACAGTTATAAAGTTATTGGTTACTCCCATTATCATCTTGCTAGTATTGCATCAGTGGGCGTCTTGACATTATTGTAGCTCATGGGGTCCACAGCTAGACAGTACCATTGATGACATTTTTCCCCTAGCAACTTGCATAGTACCTTCTGGTACTATAAAAGCTAGCCAGCAGGAAGGAAACTTCCAGCTCAGATCTAGCTTGATGTCTCAGTGTCCTTCAACCCAAGTGTTCAATGTCTTTAACAATAGGGTCTTATGATCTAGTTCTGGTGGACAATCAAGAGCAAGGGGGGGGGGTCTCTGGAGCTTCCCTGACCAACAGTTTTTAGAGAAGTATCCAATATACAGTACTGAGGTTTTTGTTTAATAATTTTTGACTCCTGGGAGGAACATTTTCCACCCTGAAAGATGCTTCTGTTCAAACTTTTTTAACTTATGTTTTTTTATAGTATTGCAAGATAATAGGTTTCCATTGGGCTTTATCATACAGCATTAATTTTGGTTAACACTTCAACCCACTACCTGCTCTCCAGTCCCATCCTTTTAAACCTTTTCACCCCCGGTGTTGCCCATCCCCAGTAACTTCATATGTGTTTTGCTATACTCCCTCACTTAAAGCTGTTTGTTGCCTCTTCTCCTCTACTGGCTCCTTTCTAACTTCCTGGCATTTCTAGGCACTCCAATTTCAACACCTATTCTAAGAATTCAAAGCTTACAATATGCATTGTCTATCTAAATCTGGGTCACCCCTCTCAGTATAATTCTTTCCAGATCCATCCATTTTCCTGCAAATTTTGCAATTACATTTTCCTTACAACTTAATAAAATTCCATTGTGAATATATACTACAATTTTATTATCCATTCATCAGTTTATGGCCATCTAGATTATTTCCATTTCCTGGATACTATGACTAGAGCAGCAATGAACATGAATGTGCAAGTATCTCTGTAGTGATATATATGCATGTATATGTATATATATGTTTTATAGTAAGATATATACTTTGGGGCATATACTCAAGAGTTATATAGCTATTTCATATGGAAGATCTAATTTTAGCTTTTTAAGAAACATCCACACTGATTTTCATAGTGGTTTGCATACCAGTTTGCACTCCCACCAACAGTGAATAAGTGTTCCCCTTTAGCCATTTTAACTGGTATGAAAGGGAATCTCAAAGTCGTTTTAATTTGCATTTCCCTGATGGCTAAGGTTGGAGAAAACTTTTAACATATTTATTAGCCATTTGTATTTCTTCTTTTGAGGGTTTTTGTTCAGTTCTGTAGCCCACTTTTAAAAACTGAGTTTATTTTTTTGATGGTCAGTTTTTTATTTAGTTGTATATTCTAGATATTAGTCCTCTATAGGAAGACAAAGCAGCATTAATTCCAAGTCAGGATGGTGGGAAATAGCTGGCCTTGTTCTAACTAGCTAAGTAAAGAAAGTGTGAGCCCTAGAGAAAAGTGACTGTGGCTGGTTCCAAAGCAGAGGAATGGTGATCTCCATGGAGGGGGCCTTGCAAACTCTCCCAGCAGAAAGGGGTCAAGGCCCAAGGAGGGAACATAATGGGCTGGTTCTTTCTAGCTAGCAGAGAAGGTGTGAACGCTGGTACAGAGGTCCTAAGGGTGATCCCAAAGTAGGGACGGGTGTGGTCTGTGGGATTTGGCTAACTGACCCCAGCTAGCCACTCTCCTGCAGCCTCAGTGGGAAGGGGCCAAGGCCCAAGGAGCTCTGATGGGAACAGGATGGCTGGCTCTTTGTCAACTTCACTATATATTTAAAATGAGACTTAATTCTAAGTAGTTTGAGTCCTTTGACTTTGTTTTTTATTGTTCTAGTTCCTTTACCTTTAAATATAAGTTTTAGAATTATTTTATAGCTACAAAAATTTTTGACATGCTTCAATGGAGATTACATAGAGTCTATATATTATTTGGGGAGAACCAGTATAAAATATAGTCATCATAAATACAGTTTATATCTTCTTTTATTAATACCTTCTTTTCTCTCTTGATCAGCATTTTATATTTTTAGCATATGATTTTTAGCATATGATCTAACATAAATTATATTGGTTTATATGTATTTTGTAGTTTGTTACTATTGTAAATGGCAGTTTGTACTTTCATTTTCTAAGTGCTTTTTCTGTTACACAGAAGTACTATTGATTTTTTTATTTATGTATTTACTTTTATTTATTTTTACATATATGAGTGTTTTGTCTGCATGTATGTAAGTGTACCATGTGTGTGCAATGCCCACAGAGGACAGAAGAGGGCAACAGATCTCCTGGAACTGGAGTTACATATGGTTGTTAGCTGCATGTAGGTGCTGGGATCCAAACCCAGGTCCTCTGCAAGAGCAGCCAGTGCTCTTAACTTCTGAGCCAAGAAACACTTCTAGCACAAGAAACACTGTTGATTTTTGTACACTGGCCCTCATCTTACAGTTGTGCTGAACTCATTTGAGTTTAAATATCACTTTCATATCAACTATGAGATCTATAGATAAAAATTCTATCTTTCTCAGTTTGTATGTTTTTCCTTTGCTTTTCTTGCCTCATTGCAATATTTAATACATCTCCATAACATGAAACGAAATAGTGAAAGTAAATATATTTTGCTTTGTTCCTCATCTAAGGGGGAAAAATGTTTGGTCTTTTACAGTCATGTGTTAGGCATACTTATTTGTAGATGCCCTTTATCAAGTTGAACACATTTCTTCTGTTTCTTGTTAACTGTGTCTTTTCATGAATGGCTAGATGGTGAATCTTTGTCCACTGCCGTTTCTGTACCACATGGCTTTTCTTTTTAAAATTTTCAGTCTAAATAATTACAATTTGGTGACTGACTTTCATAGAAACATTTAAGTGGCTTTGCATTTCTACAATAAATCACACTTGGTTATAAGTTACCCTTTCTGCATGTTACTTGGATTTTACTTACTCAAATTTTCTTGACGATCTTTAGGTCTAAAATAGAGGGATAGTGTTTAGTGCGACAGTGTTGAATTTTCTTTTCCTGTAATTTTTATGGGTTTGGTGTCAGATATTGCTGACTTCACCAAATGTCTTTTTTAAATAATAGAACAGGCATAAATTCTTAATAAATCATGACAATTTTAAATCAGCTTAAGGAGTTGCTTTTATATTTTGATGATAAAAGTTATCTTTTTCATTGAATGTAAATAATTCTATTTGTTAAATATTGTTCATTTTCACAGGACACATTTACTACTATTACATTTGAAGTCTTACAGAAATAAAATATAAGAATTAATTGTTCATTTCCTAATCTTTAGATTTTGTTGTATTGTTTAACCACAAACCATTGTTTTGAGTTTAGAAATGGTTTGTCATACATTAGTGTTCATGCATTGATATTTTTAAATCAAAATCTTAAAAATAGAAATTTATGTTTTTGTATAATTAGAGTAACTATTTTTATTTTGTGTTTAACTCAATTTATTTTTTATCTAGTCATGCAGATGGATCAATAAAATTTTGGGATGCTTCTGCAAGTAAGTTTCAAATTTGTCCCCATAAAACAGAAAACATTTTGTTAATATTTACTCACAGTCATCCACCACTTTTTAATTTGGGTAATTGACATTTCAGAAATATCTTAACATAACTATATTGCTTTGTTACAAAAATCTCTTTCCTGTATTGTTTATTAGCAAAAATGCTATCCTAAATATATTCTATAATAGTGAACAAACAAGACTAAGAAACTTTTTCAGTATTCCTATCTAAAAGAAGCAAGTGTCAGATTAGGTGTTCAGGGATTTCCTTTGCCTCCTACCTGCATGGTAGCTAACTGGGGCTTTCATTACTCCATTCTAAAATTTCCTTTCCACTTATCTACATGGATCAAAAGAAATTATTTGATAGTAGTAAAAAATTCTTTTAAATCCTTTAGAATTAGGCAAGTTAAGGAATAAAGTATATTGGGCAATATTGAAGGGCATGTAAACGTATATAAATCTTCATTTGTCCTTCACAAAATATGATCAGAAGAAAACATAAGAAAATTCATTTGTGCAACTACAAGTCAAACAAAATAAAAATTCTAAACATTATAAGTAGAGTGCTGGCTTTTAAATCAGAAATGATAGAGATTTATTTGGACCAGGTGGATTCAAGAAAGATTATTTATTTATTTGTTTATTTATTATTTATTTATTAGACAAAGTCTTCTTAGATAGCCTAGACTGGCCTCTAACTTTGAGATCCTCATGCCTCAGTCTCCGACATCCTAGGATTACAGTTGTTTACCATCATCACAGGTAGAAAGAGTATTTTAATGGCAGTAACAGGTAATATGATCTTGTTAGTTAGTGAAAGCTTTGACAGTCAAGAATAGGAAGATAAGAGCAAGTTGACAATGACTTTCTTTGAGTTTCTGAGAATATGTAGCCAGGAGGATATAGCTAGATATCTTGAAAATAAGAAATACAAGAGATCTGAGTAGAAACAGTAGCAAATCCAAATAAAACTGTCTAGATGGTAAGAAGAATAATCTGCAAAGGAAATGAAAGAAGAATCAGTGTGAAAATATTTGAAACTATAGAAGTAAATAGCTTCTGAGAAAGACAAATAAACAGAAAAGCAAAACAGTATTGACTCTTGATATTCTTTTCCTACAAGGCAGGATCATAAGAACCAGCCATTATCCTGAGAGAAAGATGAAAATATTGAGAGTCTTAGATTTTGAGATCCCTTTTTGACATCCCACACTAAAGAGCAAGAGCCTAAGAGGAAACTCAGAATGGGGAACTAAACTTTTCTTCCGATGAATATTTTGTAATCTTCCTTTGTTCCTGGAGAAAATTAATGCATAGGGTTATTAATACTTCTTCCATGCCACCTCAAAATCACTTCTTAGCCTCTAAAATTTTAGAGAACTCTTACATTCTAATTATTAGACTGTATAATACCCTTTAACATGCATAATCACATTTTAGTATGTGACTTTGTAAATGAAATATTCTTTTATCACATTCAGAGCATAAATTGCAAAGGATTATACCATGTTTATTATTTTTTTCTGTATCAATTTTAAGGGCTATCTTCAACCTACTGTCATTAAAGAAATATCACTTGCTTTTGCTAATTTTGTGGAAAACTGCCAAATAAAAGGAGCATGTTAAAATTTGAATAATTGAATATATTTGTATATTGGTTTTCAATTGCTAAGTATTACAACAATTTATCAGTTTAGAAAATGTTCAACTACTGCTTCAGTGTCTCTGATAAATATCTAATTATATCTTAACTGAGTCCTGCTCAGTGTCATAAGACCACAGTTTCAAGTTAAGTTTGGAGGCCTGTTTTAAGCTCATATGGTTAGCAGAAGATTTAATCTTGTGTGTTTACAACCTGTGATAGCTTGCTGCATCATGGCCAGCAACTCACCTAACTACGTGGAACCCATAAAGATGAACTCTCTATTGATTAACTCAAAGTTAAGCTAATTAAAGACTTTAATATATCTGAAATACCCTTTTGCCATTGTCATATAGTATAAAATAATCATGGAAGTGATCCCATCTGACCCACATGACAGGATAATACCACCTAATGCAATCCTTTGCCCATTTAAAACCTTTTTAGTTTAGCATTATTTTAGACGTATAGAAAAACTGTTAAAAAAAAGTGTGAGGGCTATGAGATATATTCACCAGCTAGTCTCTCCTCTCTCTCTCTCTCTCTCTCTCTCTCTCTCTCTCTCTCTCTCTCTTTCTCTCTCTCTTTTTCTCTCTCTCTTCCTCCACCCCTCCCTGCCTTCTATTTTCCCTTCTTTCCCATCTCATCCCTCAGTCTTTCCATCTTTCTTTCTCTTCTCACAACAATGTACACCTATACATTTAGACTTTTGTAACCATTTGAATGTAAGTTGCAGACACAATGCTCCTGTAGCATTATGCATGCCACTATTTCATTGGGTACTTCCTACAAACAAGGGACATATTTTTGCATAATGCTACTTATCAAAAACAGGAATTAAAATATGATACGAAGATGTCTAATCTCTAACTCTATTTCAGCTTTTGCCAGTTTTCTCACTAATATCTTTTATAACAATGGAAAAAAACCAAGGATCATTTTTTGCATTTGGTCATCTTTTGAGTTTTTATACATCTGGAACAATCTTATCATGGAATTGACATTTTTAGAAATTCAGGCCAATTACTTTGTAGACTGATCTTAGGTTTGGGTTAAATTCAGTTGTGCACTTTGAGTAGAAACTCTTGAAACTTTCTTGAAGACCATTTCTAGAACATGTCTTTTATTTAAGGAAATTGTGTTTTTATTATGGTCTTGTGTAGAAAAAAAATCTTCCCTCAAATAAGTATGATTTAAAACAATTCACAAGCCCAGAGTTTTATAAGATTGTATGTGACTCTGTCTTGACTAGAAGCACTTAGATGGACTCTACTAACATAATTATAAAATTCATGTCTAGAAAAGTTTTTAGAAGATAATATCAACCCCTTATAAAGGAATCCTAGGGGTCATTGTGGAAAAAACCATGAGGGGATCTCCCCTAGGAGGCCTTACATTCCATTTCCTTTGTGATTTCCATTCTTGCTTCCAATGCTTTTAAATCTATTTCTCTTTGTTTTTATACTTTTCCTCTTTGATACTTACTACTGAGATGAGGGCATGACATTGAGTGGCTACTATGTAAATGTAATTTTCCCTACTTTGGTTTTACTTTTGTGATCTAACAAATAAATTGAAAAAGCTTTGGCAACGTCTGAGAATTAAATTCACATTAAAAGATAACAATTTAAATATTTTGTAGTGACTCTCCAGATGCTGTACAAGTTAAAAACTTCAAAAGTTTTTGAAAAGCAGAAGATAGGAGATGGAAAACAAGCATGTGAAATTGTAGAGGAAGATCCATTTGCTGTTCAGATGATTTACTGGTGCCCAGAGAGCAGAATATTTTGTGTATCAGGAGTCTCTGCATATGTCATCATTTATAAATTCAGCAGACATGAAATCACAACAGAAATAGTGGTAAGTTGCTTAAAATTTAACTTTTCGATTTATAGTTACTAAAAGACAACAATTATGTATTTGAACTACTACTTCCTATGGTTTTAAGCCATCAAGACTACAATATATAGCTAGTAATATAATTCATAGAATTTAAAATTATTATTGTTAATGTCATCATTTATAAATTCAGCAGACATGAAATCACAACAGAAATAGTGGTAAGTTGCTTAAAATTTAACTTTTCGATTTATAGTTACTAAAAGACAACAATTATGTATTTGAACTACTACTTCCTATGGTTTTAAGCCATCAAGACTACAATATATAGCTAGTAATATAATTCATAGAATTTAAAATTATTATTGTTAATTGTTAATTTTTTATGTCTTTCATGTTGCATATACCTCACCAAACTGAGTTAATTCCTCCTAATTATTAATTGCCTGTATTATAAATTTAGCATTTTTATTACTTATAAAGAAAACTTCTCAGAAGTATAGTATACAACATGTTTTAAAATATGTGTTGTATAGTATA